AATAATAATAATAATAATAATAATAATAAAAGAGGAGGAAGAAGAAATGATTTAAGACACTCATAAAATGCAACAATTCTACTCTCAACATCATTTTTCAAACGAGTAATTTTTTAACATTTAGAATGTTTTATGTTCAGTGAAAAAATATATGAAGACAACATCTTACTGTATACATAAAAATGCCATTTCTTTTTCCAAATAATATTTATGCTCCCTGGTCAATCTTTAAAGACAGCCTTTCTTTTAACTTTAGCAACCAGGATGATCAGATACTCTTCTACAAACCATGACTAAAAACATGTATAAAATAAACTGCTAAAACTGGAAAAATATTAAACTGAAATAGGTAAAACAAGGACATTTCTAAGGCGTATGTTAAAATACACATACTTATCCCAACCAAGAGTTCCTATCTCTTCAATAAGGAGTGAATAGAACTGGGAAGGAGGAGGTAATACACACAACTCTTGTCTATTCTTTAATGCAACTTCCTGTTTAAAAGAAAAAAGAATCAGCTATAAAAATAATTGACAATAAATTGTTATTAGCTACAAACACAATTTCATAATCTTCTTAGTCTCTAAAGTATTTTTATAGAAAACCATGGTCACTCATTCCCCTTCTCATTTAAAAATTAAAGAAATGTAATAAAAATAATAAATATCAATTTCTGTATTATGAAAAGAACTTAAAATTTTATTATTCTAGAATGGGCATGGTGGTGAGGGCCTATAATCCCAGCAGTTGGGAGGCTGAAAACAGGAGGATGAGTCCAATCTGTGTAGTGAGACCCTGTAGACTCTGTCCTAAATACATTAAAAAAAATTTGTTCTGGACTATTATGTCTAACAAAGATGAAAAATTAAAAAACAAAAACATCCTTAAGGTTTCATTATAATACTTCATTTCCAACTCCCATGGATATGATGCTTGATATAAAAAACCATGTGCTGGGCAGTGGAGATACTCAATGGTCTAAACACCTACCTAGGCAAGGGCAAGGACCTAGGTTCAACGCCTGGTATACATGCCATGCCAGCCCTTCCTCCTGGGCATGCCAAGTGGACCACCAAGACTGGGTGTGGTAGTGCACACCTGTAATCCCTGCCCTGGGGAGGCTGAAACAGGAGGATCACTAGCTGTATAGTAAGACCCTGTACCAAATAAATAATTTTTTTTTAAAAAGTGCCTTTAAAGAAAGCCTAAACTGTTTATTCTGACTAGACTCATGAAGTAGTCATGAATCTACGACTATGAACAACCATATCTTAAGAAAAACTACTCAGTATCACAATAAACACTTGCTAATTCCTTTCACTGACATACATTCAGTATTACTCTTCTACCAGGTAAGTTCAGTGTCCTGCCAGGTATATAGCTAGATTATAGTCCTTTCCTTTGCTAGGTCCATCTACAATGTCTCTAAAATGATTTATGATCCCCCAATCAAAAACTATAACTTAAATTTCTTTACAAGTAAAACAAGTAACACTAGAGTTGCCAAGGTAAAAAATTACATTGATTCTAAAGTTTCTAAACTTGGCAATTACTTTATTGAAAGAGTAAAAAAGAAATATAGCTACAAATTACTTAATGTTCATATGGCATGGATTATCAAAGAAACTATAGATTGAGTACCTCTTAAAAAATTCAGAATCTGAAATACTCCCAAAATTTCAAATTATTTGAGAATAAAATGACACAAGTAAAAATTCCATGCCAGGAACCTTTGTTGCTAGCATAAATTAAAACTACTGTATAAAATATTGTATGAAATTGCCCCTAGGCTACATATATAAAGTACTATAAAACAGAAGTGAATTTTATTTTGTTTTTAGGTTTGGGCCCCCTCCCCAAAATATATTACCATGTTTATAAAATATTTCAAAATCTAAACAAAAAATCATCTGAATTTTTTCTCATTCCAAGCCATTTTGATAAGATACTCAACCTTTGTAAGAAAATTAAGCAATAAATAACAAAACCAGGGGGAACAAAGTAAGAAATAACAAGTTAAAACTTTTTGCTCTGTTAAGTTTATGTTTAATCTATTACTAGCTTTACATGTTTTTATTTAACAAGGACAGAATACTATTAAGTTGAGGTAAAAGTAAGGATTCAATATGGATGTAATTAGAGGGTAAGCTTCTAGGAGACAAGACATACAGGGCCTAACAGTCATAAAGTATTTGAGTTTTATTTTTATTGAGAAATATTTAGTCAATATAAACTTAAAAAACAAAAATACACTTCATTTCAATGGATATGACATTTGTAAACTCTATCTTTTACTTTAGGTCAGTAAAGATGCTCTTACTTTAGAGCCATAGTAGAAAAGAAGAGCAAAGGTAGAGAAGCAATCATCTACACTAGAAGGTGAAGTGACACAGTAGGAAGACTTCAGAGACAGGTCTCTGACTTTAATTTCTAGTTTCAAGGCTGCAGGTGCTCTGTGGCTGGGCTTTAAAATAGAAATACTGTGAAATAACGTACCTCAAAGTTCTCTTAAAATATATTAAATATAGACTGAACTCCTACAGTACACCTATTACTAGAATCTCCAAGGGAGACTTGCAAAATTTCCCAAATAAGTTCAATAACTACTGATTTCGTTTGGGCACCTTGCTCAAGAATTTCATTGTTGATTTTATTACAGGAATCCTACTACTAACAACAGTCTGAGAAATAATCTAATAATTCTTACATTGTTAGGTATACTATCTTAATGAACAATAAAATAACCAACTTTGTCTATAATTTCTGAATAAAAAAGGACCTATTTTACTCAGAAATGTAACACAAATGTATTAAATACTGTAAGCCATAGATCAATCTCAGTACTTCATTTCTTCAAAATTAAATGACCAACACAGACATGACTTATAATCCAATACAATTAGTTCTAGTGATAGAAGCTTAATGGGAAATAGTATACATACAGTTTTGCTCTGGTTTCCTTAGTTTCTGTATTCATAAGAGCATATTAAAAATTACATTAAAAAGTAAAAGGTTTTCAAACTTTTCTCCAAGACAGTATGAAAGAAAAATGCTGTATTTCTTCACCTTACCATTTTAATAACATTATAGCCTTTGATGAATTATATAATCAAATTATAATCAATTTTTGGTTTATAAATTCAGAATTAAAAATTTAATCTTCAGAAATTAATCTTAAATTCTTTGTTCCTTTCCCAAACATTTTATCAAAATTTTTTCTTCAGAGAGCTATTATGAAGATTGAAAAAGAACTCAGGAAAATGCAGCAATTAAGCTCTCAGTATATGGTAGCTGTTACAAAGAAAGAACAAACTGTACTCAGTTATTAGCTGAAATAATACTGCTATAATTTTGACATAAACAAATACAACTGGGTAGGACAAATGCAAATAAGCATAAAACGTAAAATCAGTATTGCTGCTATTACAAATCAACATTTCAGAATAAACAAGAGAAAAGCAAAGATCAATCTTACTACTTCTAAAATGTGCTTTTTTCCCTAGCTTTGCACATTAAAAAGGCCTAGTAGTAATAAGAGGAATAAGCAACCTAGTATGTGGTTGTGGCATGCAAATACCACTTCCTATGAAAGAAAAAAAGACAATCAATGGCTTTGGAGATACGGCTGATTACAGTTCTGTAAGTTCTACAATAGAATTTATAAGTTAGCTTGGGCCAACTGGTACCAGAAAATAAGAAACATAAGTTATATTAAAAAAAAAAAATTCAGGGGGTAAGGAGATAGCTGGGTAGCCTAAGAATTCAGGGGCTGGGGAGATAGCTGTGTGGTCTAAGCACCTGCTCGGCAAGCACAAAGACCCAGGTTCAGTCCCTGGTACCTCACGTAATACTGGTGGCACCCTAGGAGTGCAGTGCTGACCACCAAGATGAAGTGTTGTGGCGCACACCTATAACCAATCTCAGAGCTGGGGAGGCTAAGACAAGAGGTTCAGCTTGAATCTGAGCTGCACAGCAAGACCCTGTACCAGATAAATTTTTTAAAAAGATTTTAAAAAATAAAAATAAAATAAAAAATTTTGGATCCAAAAATAAAAGGGCTTATATGGACTAAAAATAGTGCAGGTGAAGCAACAAAATGACTTCAACAGATTAATCAAATATAAAAAACTCACAATTTTGCAAAGATGCTAATTTTTTTACTTCCCCATGACAGTTCCTAGGCACCAACTCATTATTTTATTTATTTATTTATTTATTTATTATTTATTTATTTTAAGGAAAGAGTTTACAGGGTGTTCAGGGTCTCACAACTAGATTGGACTCATAGTGATCCGCCTGTTTACAGCCTCCCAAGAGCTGGGATTACAGATGCGTGCCACCACACCCAGTCTCAATTGCTGTCTCAGCGTACCCCAGGGGTGGGGCCAGCACTGCAGGCCAGGGGCCCCTGTGCCTGCTTGCAGGTGCTTTAATCCGCTGAGCTATTTGGCCAACCTTCCAACTCATTACTTTAAAACCTGATTAAAAAAAAGAGAAAAGAAGCATTTACCTAACCTCTCTTGTATGAGCTATATGTCAAATGAACCAAGTAACCAAAGCTGATTCTTATCTATAAAATATTTTTAGTTAATAAAAACATCACCAAATATAAACTCTAAAAATAGTCAATTTACATAACGATGAGTATTGGCTGCTAAAATCACTACATAATAAGAAACTTTAGAGTGGCTCGATTTATGCTATGACCATTTACCTTGATACTAGTAGAACAATCTTGTGCTCCTGGGTGTGTCTGGCTGGGACACAGTGCTGTGACCCCCAGCACTATACATGGTCCCTTCTCCACTGTTCCCTAGTACTCTTACCCTGATGAGTTTCAAAGCTGCCATGAACTAAGCAGTTTTGCCCCTCTGCAAATTTGTATCACATTATTTCAGCAGCAAGACGACCATGGGTTGAATTCCCTGAAAGCATTAGCTAAATTAAACCTCTCCATTAAGTTTTGGGTGTTGAGCATTGTTTCCAGAGACAGAAAAGTGACTAACACAGAAAAGTGATGTCAGAGAAGTGGGGTCATTTCTGTGACCATATCTGATTATGTGGTTTAGAAGCCTTTGATGCTCCTTGTTTTACAGGAGTCTGGAAAGGTTTAGAAGAGTTGGTTAAAGAAGCCCTAGAATGTTACAGAGCACAATGGTTAATTCTGGTTAGAAGTCAGAAGACTATATGTGATAGGAATGCAGAAGGCCAGGCTCAGGAAATTTCAGCTGGATGGCTCCATTACAGTTGGATGACTCCATTACAGTTGGACTAAAGGCCATGTGTTAAAGTTGTCTATATTTTGTACATCTTGAAACTCCAGGAGTCTAAGATTAAAGGTGGTAGGCTAATTAATCTAGTGGAGGAAGTTTCAAGAGAGCCCAACATTCAGTCATTAGCATGGATAAAGCCGGCTGCTCTTAGCCAAATTTATAGTGAGAATCAGAAAGAAAAAGCAAAGCAGGAAAAAAAAATCTTGGCCCAAAGAAACTACATATAAAGCTGAGACCAAAAAGTATGGAGTTGCTGAAGAGATTAGCTGCATTAAAATGAAACTAAATACTTGACACAGAGAGGGCATCTCAGAAATCAAGAAGACTGTATTCATCAGAGGCTTTACTGTATAGAAGTATAAATCCTTTATTTGAGAAGAGTTCTTGGGCCTGACACAGGTGAAAGGCTTACAATGGAAATGAATTCCCAGGATTCATTTCACGAACTTCAGACATCCAGACACTCAGAGGCAGCTGTCAGTCACTAAGGTCCTAAGAGCTCCTGCCTACTGCTTCTGCCAACAGTAGACTTTTATGTTACCCAATTGTTCCACTTGTACACAGAATATAAAAGAGTTGTTGGAACAGGGAAGCTTCCACTCAGATTTATTTTCTTTCTTTCACTATTTTCTCCTTTGGTACTGAGAATAAAACTCAAGGACTCATGCTGGCCAGGCAGGTGCTGTACGGCTGAACAACCCCCAGCCTTCCCCTCAGATTCTAAAGTAGATCTTGGAGGCCAAGCCAGGAGCCCAGTGAGGGCAGCGAAACTGCAGGAATAGTTGGAGATGCCAGGAATGTGGAAGATTAACCAAAAAAAGCTGCGGATCATGAATGGAGCCAACACAAAAGAGAAGGCAAGAGGGCCACAAATGGCAAGGCCACAGGGGTGGGGCTATAATTGCCCTTGGGAAAGTACCATTTACTATCAGGTGCTCTAGATGATGGACACAGAGCCACAGGACTTAATATTTGTCTTACTGGGTTGCAATTCTGCTTTGTTCTGATTCTTTCCTATCTCCTTCCATTTTAGTATAAGAATATTTATTGTGTGCTATTGTGCTCTGGGATTAGTAACTTGTCTTTTATTTTTATATAGATTCACAGCTAAGCATTTGCTTTTGGTCTTTTGAAAAATGATGGAACTGTTGAAATGTTAAGGAAGAGATTATTCTGTTTCCAATTGTACACAGGATAGTTGCAGTATAAGAATAATGAAGTCATTATTATCTTTACCGGGAAATTAAACATAGTTTAAGGAGATTTATTTAGGTGTTAATAAGCAACAGACTGTGACCATTAACCTTGACTAAAGAAACATCTAGAAAGTTAAAAGCACAATCCAGTGAATATCTAGGTGGGGTATGGACATATAATCTTGAGTATTATAGATGGTCCTTCATCCTCTCTTTCCTGGCACTTGTTCCTTTTTTTTTTTTTTTTAAGTTTTTATTTTTTTAAATGAATTTGGTCATACAGGGTCTCACTATGAAACTCAGACTAAGCGATCCTCCTATTTTCAGTCTCCCCAGAATGGGATTAGAGACGTATGCCAATACATGTAGACTCTGTGGCCTGTTCAGCCTGTTCTGGCGCATCATGTGGTACCGGGGATCAAACCCTGCAGTCCCTGCTCTTGCCTAAGCAGGCACGTGAGCTCTCACCAGCCCCCACCTCACTTTGTTTTGACTGTTGACTGTTGTGAAAGTAGCAACTTCTGTTCCTTAAAGCCCTTTCATCATGATGCAGCTGCCTTGGAGGCAGCATGATATGCACTAAATTACCCAAAACTGTGAGCTAATTTTTTTTTTAAGAGCAGAACATTTATTGAGGGAAAGAAAGCTTCTGTGTGAGATAGAGTGAGACCCAAGTGGTTTGTCCCCCCAGAAACTGTCTCTTCCAGGGACTTTTATAGAGTAATACCATGTGGTAAGGCAGGTCTAAGGTGGTGGAGAACATGGGAACTCACTTAGGTGGGTATGAGGCGGGACAAGACTATATGGTCAACCAATGAGACCACAAGCACCATTGCTCAGGTAAATCTGATTCAATCCAGTACCAAATGAAGTCCTGTTGGGGGTTGGGTTAGTGACTTGTTAGGGCTCTTTCAAGGTGATTAATACCTATTTAGAATATCAATCACTGATGCCCATCCCTAGGGAAGGTATGTGAGTAGATGTTTACTCTTTTGTCCTGAGGCATGGACCAAAGCTGGAGTGTCTGTTTCTTCCAAGTTGCAAAGTCACCTTGTCTTCCATATTGTCTCCTTGAGGGCCTAGCCCTATTTGACTGCTTATAACACTTCTATCTAATTCAGCTGCCTACATTGAAGAAGTAACCTAAACTGCCTTGAGGGAACCATGGGTGGTGACTGCTCTGGCTTCTTCAGGCTGAAAAGGGTTGTAGTTATTGACTGGCAGAGATACTCTCCAGAGGTCCTACCTACAGGCCCTCAATAGACACCAGGCATTTTTATCTTGGATGGGTGTATAACTTTGAATCTCCCTCCAATGACCTCAGTGGATGACCTCTAAATGATACAGGAAAAATGAAACACCCAACCTGAAAGGTACCTGGGATGACTTCATGTTCTCTAAAACCAAAGAATGAATTTTAGGAACAAATGGAGATTAACAGCAGAGTATTTATTGGGGGAAAGAAAGCTTCTGTCTGAGAGGAACAGCAGGGGAGTCCCAAGTGGGTTGTTCCCTATAAGCTAAATTTTATTTTATTTTTTTATTTATTTGGTAAAGGGTCTTGCTACTCAGCTCGGACTCTCAGTGATCCTCCTGTTGTGAGCCAAATTAAATGTCTCCTCCTTTAAGTTGTTGGTAGTTTGTCCATAACAGAAAAGTGACAATCTTTACTAAATGAGGAATCACATATTATATAATTCCAAATATACTGTATTAAGTACAAGGCACCATTATTTCATCAAAACAATGAAGTAAAATCTGTGGCAATCAGTAGATCTAACTGCCAGATTACAAGGTACAAGTACAGGTTGGGTAGATAAACCTTTTAAAAAATACTTGGGAAGAAAAGTGTTTATGATTTTAATTTTGTTTTAATTTGGAATATCCATATACTTATGAATAATATTCATATATATAACATACAATTAAATACATATAAGTACACATATAAAAATATACATACTTATACATACAAATATAAACATACATATATAGAAAAATATCTTGCAGATGGGACCAAAACCCAAACATAAAATTAACATATTCCACAGGCACCTCAGACATATAACTTGAAGGTATTTTTAAGCAATGTTTAGTAATTTTGTGCAAAATTTCATACTGCAAAATTTTCCTCTTATACCACCACAACACTCAAAATATCTGGAATTGGGGAGCATTTTGGATTTCTGATTAAGAGATGTTCATCCACATACGATCTAAAAGGTGAAATGTACAATGTAAGAATTTTCTTTCAATAAGTAGGTAACATGAAAGAAAAAGTAATGTGGAGATTTGTTATAATTATATAAATCTTACATAAGATTTAACACACCTACTTAATATAATTTATGGACCTTGTATGGATACTAATATAAAAAAATTAAAAATTGACTTCATTGAAGTTTTAAATGTATATTTAAAACAATACATAGATGCTAAAAATGTGTGCTGATATACTCATAAAGGAATGGATATAAAATCCATTATCTCCTTTAAAATAACACAATCTTAAGTAATAATAAATTAAAATACAGTAATCTTCTCTAAAACAAGTAGGAGGAAATACGTTTGACAAAATGCTGAGGTAAAATCATAGGCTCATTGCATTCGTTGTAATTTCTCTTGGGATCATGTTAAAAACTTTACTAATGAGAATTTTTAAAAAATAATAAAACATCTATAGACTACTCAAGTATTTAGTGCAAAATTTTCTCACTAAATAAACTATCATAAGCCTAATAAGATTTTCAGGAATCCATACCTGTATACAATTACTCATCATATTAGATCTTTAAGCATAACCACCCAAGTTCTCCTTTAGATGTGAAATTCTCTTAATAGGCCATTTTATTTCTTCATCATCTGCACAACACTAATGTCAAGTAAACCAAGTTTACCAATATAATCATTTGCCTCTTCTACACAGTTCTGTTCCTCAGGCAGGTCAAAAACTATACCATTCACGTTTATGTACAGTAAAATCAATATGAAATGACTGGGAGTTATGGAAATAATAAAGACTTAAAGAATATGATAACCATTTTAGAAAAAGAAAAATCTTACCAAGATCATCTTCAACTCCATCATAAAGCTCATTAGATCAGGAGCATACTTCATTCTCTAAATCAAAATATTTCCAATATGATTGGTAAACTGAATATTCTCCCAAATGAAATAAAATAAAGTGAATGTAAATTACATATATAAAATGTTAGCTATAATGGGTAGAATTATATATTAAAAGTATTAAGTAATGAAAACTATTGGTCCTTACACCCACTGTTCCCACCACTTTCACTTTGAAAGAAAGCCCTCAAACCTATTTTGGTGAGATATAAAACTGCGTAAGAATGTGCTATGGTCTGTGTATAGTTGTTCCCTGCAAAGTTTCATGTAAGTTATGGGGCAGATGCGGCTGGAGGAGTGAATGGCTTGAGGGGCAGGGCCAGAGAACAAGGGCGGGGACCAAGGGACAGGGCAAGAGAGGCACAAACCTTAAACTGGCTAGCCTGTGCTTTCTGAGAAATGTGGAGAAGGTCATCCTACAAAGGGCAGCACCCTGGCCTCTCTTCTCAGTGTCTTAAAACCTCCAGTAACTGTGAGCTAAATAAACCTTCCCTTCCCTCATTGTGTCAGATATTTGTCCCAGCAACGAGAAAATAGTAACTAATACAGAATGTTACTTAAAACCTTACACTCCTGTTTCTTCAGTACTGTTGACTGCCAAGTTTAGCAAATCTAGCAAACTTTATCATTACTTTTAAGAAGAAGAGTACAGGAGGAGAGAGAAAGCTGTGAATAAATAAGAAATATAAAATATAAAAATAAATGCACAATTTTCAAATCTAGAGTAATAAATCCATAATTCATCAACAATACCGTATTATTTCTTTGACCTAAAAGACCACTGACTGTTATTTCTGTCCCTTTACAACTGACCCATACTAATTCTAAGAAGAGAATCATTCAATAAAAAAGCTAATATAATAGTGAAAATGAAATAATCTCTTAAGTAGAATGGATATTTAAGTTATTGCTCCATTTCCTAGAAAGTCCTCATCCTTAAAATAACGATAGAAAAGTGAAAAAAGTTTTATACTGCTTTCCTAGAACACTACATGATTGTTCTGCTTGAAAACACAATATTGTGCTTTTATTTTTTTAATGCACTGCCCTAATAGCACACAGCTCTGAACAAAGTCAAATGTAATCTGTTGTCATTTTAGATAAAAAAAAATTAAAAGCTAAGTTATTTCAACAATTCAAGATGTATCATTCACATCTTAACACAGCTTTGAGTTGGTGCATATTTGTAAAACATATCACATCTCTTAGACCTTATCTTTGGCTATGTGTTTTTTTTTTTTTATTACCGGTAATAAATTAGATAAAGAGTCTGCAAACAATAAGCCTGTCTGCAGCCAAATCCAGCTCAATACTTACGTTTGTAAATCACATTTTATTGGAATGTAACCAATGCCCCATTCAGTTACCACTTACCTATAATTGCTCTGGTGCTGTAAGAGCAGAGCAGAATAGTTCTGACAAAAATTTATGGTGCACAAAGCTGAGAAAGTTACAAGTGTCCTTTACAGAAAAAGTTTGTTGATCCTTTTGCCGACTTTATTAAAAACAATGAGAAAAACAGTAAAATCCAACTAGATTTTGGAATAAACAAAAGCTCAAATTTGTTAAGGGTTCTACCTGACAGACTGGAAAGCAAAAGGAGATAAGCTATTTATTCATTAGCTTAATTATAAATAACTTATTTATGATTTTTTGGTGAATTACAAAAAAAAATTTTGTATCTTACAGCAATACTTAGCTCCATTAACCAATTTTCAGTATCTCAGTACATTCTTCAACTTTAGGATATAATACAAATAGTTATGAGAATGAGAGGTAAATGGAAAAGAATTGAAACATCCCATTTACTTATAATTATACTGTTAGTACGACAACCAACATGCTACATATCAAATAGCTTGTGTCCTATACTGTACTTTGTTCAAAGAGTACTCCGTAACTCAGTTATGCTTTATATGAATGATCATCATCAGTTATCACATCTACAGTTCACTAAGGTAAAAAAAAAAATAGGAAATCAGAAAAAGAATCAAAGAATAAAGCAGCAAAGAAATGCAATTCTAACATTTATTTTTCTACAAGATGTATTACATTATGTTCAGCTGCCTAAATAACAGTGGTTTTTGCTTACTTCTCTAATTTTTAAGGGCATTTTCAGGTAGAAGATACTAAATATTAAGAATAACTGGATTGGTGGGTATGGTAGTACACACTTGTAATCTCAGTTACTGGAAAGGCCTGGTCAGGAGGACTATAAATTTTAGTCCAGCCTGAAAAGCAGAGTAAGACCCAGTCTCAAAATAGAGGCAAGCTTGTGGCTTAGCATCCCTTAGGTTCAATCCCCACAACTGTAGCCCACAAAAGAAAAATAATTTTACATCTATGACATTTCATTTACTTTTATTTCCTCTCATTAAGCAAGCACTTATGATCCTAAGTGAATCCCTCACACCTTTTCTGTTGCTAATCTATAGCAACAAATGTCACTTTGCTGAAGATAGCTTCAGCTTTAAAGGAGTTCCAATTCCTTTTTTCTATCATCACTATATGGTCTCAGCAGAAAAATCATATTGCAATTAGTGGATATGGATAAGAGTAAAGGATGTAAAAAACCTAAAGTCTCAAGAATGCAAACTGGGGGCGAGCGAGATAGCTCAGCAGTCTAAAGTGCCTGCTTAGGCAAGCTTAGGCAGACACAGGGGACCAGAGTCCTATCACCAGCAGCACATGCTGCTGCCCTTCCCTCAGGGCCAGATGAGCTGGCAAAAAAAAAAAAAAAAAAAAAAAAAAAAGAATGTAAACCAGTTTCAACACAAATGCTGTCCAAAGATCTGCTGATTTCAGAAAGCATTTTAAATAATGTAAATATCCCTAAAATACTTGATAGCTAGAGCTAAAACCAATGAAACTGAGCAAATATTAAAATTAGTTTATAATAACATTCTGTAAACCGTATCTTTAAAGAGTCAATTTAGTAATTTCTAATCTTCATATAAAATAAAAGCTTTTAAAAGACTTACCTGTTGGACTATTTCATGGTATCCATTAAGTACAGTTTTCAGCTGCCAACTACACAATAATCTAAAATTTTAACAGGACAAAAGGATTTATTCATCTTTCAGAATTAAAAGGAAAAAACTTATTTGTATGCTAATACAAATATGTACAACCAAAAGAATGACATAAACACAATTCTGACAAGTTAATAAAAATTTTACCACTTATACTGTTGAAAGTCTTGTCTTGAAACTGTCAGCATTAATTTTACTTCAAGATAAAAATAACTGCAACCACTCAATGACACACAAACAGTACATCTTTTTTTAACTTATACAAAGTAAAAGGGTTTTTTGTTTTGGGGGGGGGTTTGCTGTTTTTTGGTGCTTTTTTAAGATACAGTCTTCCTATGCAATTTGGGCCAGTCTTGCACTCACTTTTGTGGCCCCTAGGCTGGTCTCAAACTTGTAGTCATCCTCCTGTCTCAATCTCCCAAATGCTGAAATTACAAATGTGTACCACCATGCCTGGTATGAGCAAATTAAAATTTTGTATTGAACTAGTTTCTTCTCCAAGGTACATTAAAAGTAACAGTACTGATCATAATATATTAAACATATCAAAAAAGCATATGTATCCATATATTCTTCAAATTTCAGATTAATGTAACTAAGATACATACTTTGAACTGTATGTACAGGTATAATTTATATTCATGTATCTATCAGCTCAACTCATCTCTCATCATAAGTAGGTGATTTTTCTAAGTAATTTCTTATCTAAAAGAAGTAAGTCACTCTGCATTCCCACTTCTAGAACCTGTTTAAGCCATCACAACTTCCCTCCTTCTTGATTTGTTAAACTCCACACCTATCCTTCTCTCTTACTGTAAGGGCAGTTCACTCCACTCTCTATGGATAGGGTCTCTCCAAATGTGTTTTCTATTCCTTGCTACTAACTTAGCTACCTCATTAGTTATCTCTTATGCTGTCCCTATTTTCTTAAGCTCTTCTTCTTTTTTTTTTTTTTTGCAGTACTGGAGATTGAACTCAGAACCTTGAGCTTGCCAGGCAAGCGCATGTTCTACTGAGCTATCTCCCCAGTAATCCATCACCTTAAAAAAAATCATTAACTCTTCCTTGCGTGCACTCCCTTGTCTTTGGTCTCTCCTTTTCTTCAACATAGTTTATATTTTTCCATTTCCCTTCTATGCCCTCATCCAGTCCAAAATCCAATAGGATATGGTTTCTGCTACTGCACAAAACCTATTTATACCCAACCAGATCTCTCTGCGATACTCAGTACTGATAATCCATTTCTTTCTTCACCCAATTTAGCTTCAGAGACACTAATGTTCAAATTTTCCTTTTACTGTTCTGGAAGTTTCCCTATAGTTATCAGTCCTTTAAATGTTCATATGCCCTTAAAGTCTTTTCATTGGATTTCCCCTTTCAACCTAAAGATCTAGGCACTAGAAAGTCATATTTCTTAGAGTCATAAGATGGGGCTTTTCAGAGGTGGCTGGATCTACAGTGTGGTGTGTGATGCTGGGATTGATTCACTTTGCAATGCTAGGATCAAGAGCCCTAGGATTAAGAGTATGAATGCTAACTGCCCTAAGTAGCCTGGATAAGATACAAGCAACAGAAAGACCTAAGGTCATCCCTTTTGTGTTCTGCTATCTTCTGCCCACAAGAACTGTTTCTTTTCTGTGATGCTTGTCTGTCATGTCACCCTCCCTTGGAACCAGTCTATTATGGACTGAAACCTCTACAAACTACAAGGTAAATAAATCTTTTCTCCTTTGAGTATTGATTATTTTGTCTCAGCAAGAGAAAAGTAACTAAGCCCATATTTATGGCTTCAAAATCCTGGGCTGGCTATGACTTTCACAGACATCTTCACTACAAGTCTCATGCTCAAATTCCACACCAATACACTACTGCTTACTAAAATAGCTCCTCTTGCTATTTTACACTCAATATTCCTTAAAATAATCTCATTTTCACTGCTTTGTGACCTCTTCTCAAGTTTAGTAATCTAAGCTAGGAATTCAGAAAGCATCACTTATTCCTCTTTCCCTCTTACTTCCATTTCTAATCAAGTCATAAAATTCTATCAGTACTACTCATGAATATTTCTAGATTATTTTTCCTCCATTACAGAACTATTAGGAGCAGAGCTGAATTTGAGGCAATGCCTACATATCTAGACTCATCTCCTGACTAGTTTTTGCAACCAACAGTCAATATTTGTATCTCAATTTACTCCGGGAGTAACTAACAATGAGTCTTCCCACATTATATTATCATATTACATACAAATTGTACTAGTTAAGTTGTAACAGAAAATTCTCCTAAGTCTCTTGTATTTTGCCTTTATAGGTAGTCCTATTTTTGTTTGTATTGTTACCTCTGAAGAACATTCCAGTAGCAGGGAAATTATTCACAAATGCCACAATGATTTGGAAAAATTCCAAATGTTTCAAGGTTTAGTTGATAGTATTTGTTGGTATGCATTTGGGGTAAAATTCTACAGTCACTTGAATCAGTTTTTACCAGATGGTCTAACCCACCAAGATACATGTACATAACAAAACACCTCATCACCTTGCATTCTTCAGTTGTAAATCTTCAGGCAACAAAATTTTAAGGTGGAAGTCTCTTCCCTACGGAAAACATTAAAGCAGTACAGTCAAATCGTCATCTATCACCTAATGTTAATAGATGTCCAAGATAGAATCACATATAAAAAGGTAACATTCTTTCACTTCTGAAAAAGTTATCAAATATACCCAAAATTTTTATACTAAAAATATACAACAAATAGAATACTACAAGGGAAGGAGGTGACCTAAAAACTGCATCAAAACCATTTTGTTATTGGGAAATCAAAGAGTAAGAACTTGTTTTTAAAGAAAAAAAACACAAATAAAAGAGATGGTGCACTATAAAACTGTTAATAGACATAGTAAAGACATTTAAATGCTTTTAAGAAAAGTATTTATTAAAAAATTCCTTCAAATTGCTTGGATATGGAAGGAAAAAAATCACAATACATAAGTAAGAACACAAGAATATATGATACATTCAAGTTTTCATGTTTAGAGTTACTTCTTAAATTTCAATAAAATGAAATTATGTTGTTATGCAATCTAAACATTTAGACACAAAAATATGATCATAAATCAGGGTATATTAATTATCCTACACTATTAAACTTATAAGAAATAAAATTTTCATCCAGAGTCTTTCTAAGAAAGGGGGAGAGTGTAAGAAAAGAGTGTTCTCTAAGAAATATAGTCAGTGTTACTTTCTTTGGGAAGTGAATGAGTAAGCAGTTTAAACTTTCTAACTTATATAGGATAATACTTGTGAAATGTGAGCAAAAATAAGCAGAAAAAGACAAACAGAAATGTAATCTTTTACTCCAACAGTATAAAATGAAAAGAGTAATAAAATTCTTGAAAAACAATTACCACGCGGAATTTTAGCAGTTTCCCTCAAAGCAGATTCAAAAACAGTGGAACACAATTAAATGTACCCCATAACCTTTACTTTCATGGTAATATTACAGTTCTGACTTTCATTACATTTAAATGTCCTTTAAAAAACTGAAACAAATGTACTACTGACCTTTTCAAAAGGTCAGGTAACAATAATTCACTATTTCATTAAACCACTAAAAGGTATTATGTAATAACTTTAACCTAACTTTAGATACCCAACACATAAGTGTAAGAACAATCTGTGATTCACAATTTACATGAAAAATAAAGAATAAAATTCCAAAGTCCCTTACGTGCAAAATCAAGCTATTTTAAAAGGTCAAATGACATGTTATATGCCACAGTACCTTTATGATTCAAGAATATGTCCAAAATTAGGATTTTTTTGTAGTTAAAAGTATCTAAAAATATCAACTATTCTCAAAATGATTTTGTAAGTATGCTGTAAACAGTAAGAGATGTTTAACCTGACTTTCCTTCACCCAAAATAACTATGCAAATCAATATTATGGACATATAAGAACTATAAAAAAAAAAATCCATGTTGTCAACCAGAAGACAGAGAACACAAAAACATGTACAAAGAAAAATACAAACCATTTTTCAGTATAGCACACACTGGAGCTTTTTCAGTAGTGAAAGTTAAAAGTGTCAGCAGGTTCAAAAAAAAAAAAAATGCATATAGAGAATGAGGGAATTGGACTAACTATAAAAGTACTAATAAAGAATTTATAGGGCTGGTGAGATAGCTCAGGGGCTGGCAAGATAGCTCAGCTGTCTAAAGTGCCTGTTTAGGCAAGCTTAGGCAGGTGCCAGGTGCCGCAGAATGCAGTTTGATCTCCACATGACATGTCACACCAGCCCCGCCCTTGGCAGGCTTAGGAAGTTCCAAAAAAAAAAAAAATAATAATAATTTATAGGTCAAAGCATTAACTGCAAACAGGAGACTTAATATTAACACAAAAATCAAGAAAGTTTTAGAAAGCAAAAGTTTTAGAGTAGAAGATGGGTAAAATGTAGATAGAAATACTTTTTTAGAAACTGGGTCTTAACGCCTGGGGAGATGGCTCAGTAGAATAAGCACTTCCCAGGCAAGTGCAAGGGCCTGAGTTCAATCCCCACTTCCACTCAAAAAAAAAAAAAGAAAGAAAAAAAGAAAGAAAGAAAGAAAAAAGAATCTGGGTCTTATGAGGAAAAAGAAGTAAGTGTGGGAAACTTAAGGTTTTATATGAAGAAATAAAAGCATACTATTCTTCCCATAACACACTCCCCAAATTATCCATTAAACTAGATTTTGCTTCACCAACAAGAGAATGTTTTTGAATTAGGATGTGAAATAGTATAAATCTTCACAAAGGTGTTGCTTTTATCAATCCAAAGCTACTATGAAACAAAACCAAAAACTGAGAATCAAACATTTCAGGTTAATGATGAATTCCACACGAATAAAACCCAGAAACCCAAATAAATTATAATACTGAATAAAATATCAAGTATTTGAACAAAGTGTATAATTAAAATACAAGTAATGAATACACTGAGAAAAAAATGAAAAAGAAAAAATCACATTAAACTGGAAGACTAAATTTTTTCCTAAGAACAGTCAATAAATATTTCATTAATGCGCAAAAAATAAAATTTAAAAAAGCAAGAGTATTATCAAATGAAAAAAAAATCAAAAACTAGCAAAAAAAAAAAAAAGCTGAAAGTAGAAAGTAGGCAAAAAAATCCAATATACATACAACTGGAGGGCTTAAAAAAGAAAACAAATAGAAAAGAACATTTAAACTTACATTTTCCAGAAATCCACTTAACAAAAAAGACAAATGGATGCATGAGAAAAATGACTCATAATGATCCATTCTTACGATACATCTTAATATGCAGATTTTACACATTCTGGGAAGCTGAAACACAAGGGCAGATGGCAAATTTAAGCCCAGCCTGGCTACTTAATGAGGGCCTATCTCAAAAGTTCAACAACAAAAGGGCTAAAAAATGTACTTCACTGCCAAGCCCCGGGTTCAATCCCCAGTACTGTAAAAAAAATTGAAATTTAATTTCAAAAAGTAAAAAAATGTCTACTGTCTCTGGGGAAAAGATCCAATTACTTATATGGTAATATAATCACACTGGTATCAGTCATCTCAAAGGAAATTAAGAAAAAGTGAAATGAAAATTTCAAGAAACTGAAAAAAATTTTTGTTTCTAGTCATGAAGAAGAGGAAAGCTTTATTCTTCTATCTTAATTTAAAAACTAGACTGAAAAACAATGATGTTAGGGCCAGCCAGTTAGCTCAGCAGACTAAAGCACCTGCTTAGGCAGATGTAGGGACCAGGCTTCAATCCCCTTCTGTCATGCCAGCCCAGCCCCCAGGGCAAAATGAGACAGTGACTGAGACTGGGTGTGGTGGCATGCACCTATAATCCCACACTTGGGAGGCTGAAAATCAGGAAGGATCACTACAAGTCTGATTTGTATAGTAAGACCCTGAGACCTTATAGACACAAAAAAAAATGTTTAAAATGTTAATAAACAGATTATATTAATAAACAGGATACTGATTCTTGTAAGAAGAGAAATAAACGATAAAATCTCTGTAATTATCCAGGCTTACTGCCTGAAACATTTTCAGAACACAAGATAGGGATGGGGAAACAAAGAAACCCAAATACGCTCTTTGACATGAGGAAAGAGAGATGACCTAGGAGAGGCCAATGCATGTAGAATTCACTAGGTAAAGTACCAAAAAGAAAAAAAGCATAAAGAGGAGACAACTACATACAAAAATCTTCAAAGGCCTGGGGAAATAGCTCAGTGGCATAAGCAGCTGCCTGGGAATCACAAGGTCCTGAATTCAATCCCCAGGACCAGCTCCCATCCACCCCCCAAAAAAAGAAAGAAAAAAAGGGGGGGGGCTCCAGAAAACGCCAGAGGACTCTGAAAGAAATCTTCAGCTAATGCCACACAGATGAGAGAAAAGTCAAAGCTGGAGCATCATACAAAGAGTGTACAAATATTCTAGAAATAGAATGTGTATATGAAGTACAGTACTAGTACTGCCTCATTGGTGCAGCCGAAGTAAAACTGAATTCTGCTCTGGTTTTTCCTATTAAAACTTAAAGACAAACCTCAAAAAGATTAAATGAGCAGTTAATTTAATTACAATACACAACTACTCTGAAGCCTAAATATTTAGAGAAAATATATAGCATTCAACAGGTAGAACTCACCTCTGGCACCCAATCAAAATACACTAGGCATGTAAAGAAGAAAAATAATGGCAAGTTCACAAAAAACAAAAACAAGACTGAAAACTATTCCAGGTTGTGCACATATGAATTTTACATTAGGTAGTGAGAGATGGGTGAAGTACAAAGTATGTAACTGTCATATTAATAAAACTTGAATATGGACTCTAGGTTAGATATGGTATCTTATTATGATTAAATGTCCTGATTTTGGTCATTGTACTGTGATGAGGCAAGAGTGTGATGTTGTTCTTATGCATGATGTAGTTATCTGGGGATAGAAGGGCTCTATGTCAATGATTTAATTTCAGTAGGTTCAAGCTGGCCAGATAGCTCAGCAGACTAAGCACTTGCTTAGTCAAGCTCAGGGACCAGGGTTCAATCCCCAGTACCACATGCCACATGGGTCCCACCCAGGGGCATGCTGAGCTAATGAGTCCAGGCATAGTGGCACACACATGTAATCCCAGTGCTGGGGAGGATGAGACAGGAGGTTCACTACTACGAGTCCGAGCTATGTAGTAAGACCCTGTACCAAATATATTAAAAAAAAAAAAAAAGAGGCCACCCACTTGCAATAAGTCACAGGGCATTCTCAAATTGGTTTATCTTTGTTTTCTATAAATTTAAAATATATGTAAAATATTTTTAGAATATTATAGTATTTAGGTTAAGATTCAAATAAACTGCTTTAGGCAAGTCCAAATTTGAACAATTTGAACTACAACAAAAGTGATAATTGCTCATCTAATTCTGATGGGTATGTGTTTTTTAAGGCGCTCTGGAAAATATAGATAGCATGTTCTTTAAAATGCCCAAAACTATGTACAACACACTTCATTAAATACAAAAAGTAAATACTTTTCTAACTTTCCCAAATATTGTGTCAAAGTAGAACATGTTTTTAGGTAGATAAATAAAGCAAGCTCTCGGGATAAGTGCCTGCCTGGCAAGTTCTGATTTGGATCCTTAGTACCCACCCCCCCCCAAAAAAAATAACCGAGTTGGGGGGTAAAAAGAGACAGCAATGTTGATGTGATCTCAAAACAGAATACATAGGATCTGGCCTTAATGAGTTTGAGCACTATAGGGTGGGCTGCAGCCTCAAGAGTTTGGGGACAAAATTCAGAAAAGTCTACATTCAAAATCCTAATTTAATTTTTTTTTCCTTTTTTTTTTTTTTTTGTGTGTGTGTGGTATCCGGGGACAAACTCTTGACCTTGCACTTGCCAGGCAGGCGCTTCTGCTGCTGAGCTGTCTCCCCGGCCCCTAACTTAGAAAGTCTTGATAGAAAGTGGAGGGGAAAAATCCGAGAGCGGATGGGCCTGAGGCGAAGGGGTCTGGCCGGCTCGTGGACAACTCACTCCACCTCTCGGGATGTCCACGCCTTCAGGATTTCCTCAACTACAGCACAAGAGAACTTTCAGAAAAATCCCTGCCTGAGAGCAAGTCACTGCAACACCGTCCCGGAGTCGGCGCGCACGTGCTCCTACGTACGCGTAAATAAGCTGAACCCGGAGGCGCGCAGGCCCGTTTATTCCGCGGGCGCCCAGCCGGCTCACTCGGCGCCCAACCAGTGCTGCCCGGGGACGGCCAGCCGTGGCGGGACTCCTGAGGTATTCCCCAAGAACTCTTCCGTAAGCAAAACCCGACGACACGGCCCCTCGAGACCCCCCTCGGCCGCGCGGGGTCTCGAGGGGCGCCGCCCGCCCGTGCCCGACCCGGGCTCGCGCTCCGCACCACTCCTCTTCGCCCCCCATCCCGCGGTCGCTTATCTCGCCCGCCGGGGACTTCCCGGGGCGCAGAGCGAGGGCAACAGCCAGGCCAGTACCTGAGCCGAGATGAATCCTTCATACACTGTTTTTGTCAGATTCTGGGGCAGAAGCAGCGGACACTGGCGCAACAGGTCCACCTCTCTGTGCGCCATAGCGCAGGGGACGCGCAGCCGCGCATGCGCAGTCCCGCGAGCGCCGTGCGCCTCGGGCGGAAGCCGGGTTTGGCGGGAAGAGTCCGCGCTACCGGGCGGAAGTAAGGGTGAAGGGCTGGACAGGCCGCCCGGGAAGGGGGGGAAACCCTGCCCTCAGGGTCGCATGTCTCATGATAAGAATGCCTTTGGTGATTTTGCCTTTATTGAAAGTCTGCTAAAACTTTAGAGTTACATTTCCTCCCACCGAGGCGGCTTTTACATTCTGCAGTCTTTTTTTTTTTTTTTTTTAATTTATTTATGTGTGTGTGTGTGTGTGTGTGTGTGTGTGTGGCCAGCTCAGCCCACCAGGGGGCGGGGCTGGCTGGCATGTGGTGCTGGGGGATTGAACCGCGGTCCCTGTGCTTTGCTAAGCTTGTTCTAAATAGGTGCTTTAGACCACTGAGCCATCTCACCAGCCCCATTCTGCAGTCTTGTACCATGTCTACAATGAACTTTTCCCACTTCCCTTTGCTATTGGACTCACCTTTGCCCTCAGTACACTGGTAAAGTATTCTTACATAATAATGCAACATATTATAATATATTCTATATACCATATACATTGTATTACAATTCTATGGCTTGCCATTTTAATCAGGTATTATATTTGAGAGACATACATAAATTGATGGAGATTCAAGTCAATAGTGTACTCAGTTTTGGATACATTATTTGGAAATATGTCAGGTAAACCATGCAGAAAGTTTGCAGATGGACTCGGTTACCTTAATTTTTGGATTTCAATCCTATTTATATATATGCATTATCTGAACTCAGGCACAGTATCCATTCCCTTTTCCTACTGGTTAAAGAGGCTTATTCATATTTACTTATAATTATTTGATATTACTATTCAATGAATTACAGTAAGCTGTGTTTGCCAAACAGTATAATATGCCAAAAATTGTGAAAAGATGAAGATATGCCTTCTCTGATCTTTTTTTTCCCAAGCCAAACTATATCCAGCTTTATTAAAGATACTTTTCATAAATGATCATGGTATTTCAGGCAGGACATGGGCACACAATCGTTAACAGTATTTTGGATGGACTACCAAAAATCAGAAAGCCACTATAAAATCCAATGAAGTCTTCAGTTGAGGCTCTGAAGTAGGGAAATGTTAGAGCAAGGATTGATGTTTCATATTAGCATGTTGTTTAACAACTTTTCACAAGCCAACCCTGACTTTCAGGAAATGAAAATGGCAGAATTATCAATCTGAAGATCCACAGTCTAGAAAAAGAAATCAACTGCTCTTGTGAGCCACCATCTCAATGGTACTGGAAAGTCCAGATTGCCTAACACACTGGTAACATCAGTTTTGGGAATCAGATCCCAGAAGGTCTCTGGGCTTAAAGGAGTTAAGTCTATGCTGATGGCAGAGGAAATGGAGGACATAAAATGAACTGGGAACTGTCTCATACCACAAGGCATTGATGATAAGGTCAATACCAGGGAATCCCACCTTCTGGGAGCCAAGAGGAAGTCTCTCAAAACTAGCAGGGAAAGGTGTTTTCCCCACATTAATCCAGCTTTGGAGACATTGTACTACTGACATATGCTTCTTCCCCCCAAAACAACAATGAAGTGTTCTGTGTGCTAACAACATAGCTTTAAAAAAAGTTTAAAAATTCTGCATTTATATAAAACTTGATTAAAAAATAGTATTTCAAACTATACAGTCAGGAGAAGTACACAGTTAACAAAAATACACCCACCTCACTTGGCATCTCCAGTACCTTCAGCTTTTTGTGCCTGGTCTGTTTTGGCATTTCCATTTTCTGCAGCGTTATTTCCATCCTTGCTTACATCAGCTTTTTGTTTTTTCCCTTTGGGTACCTTCTGTCCCTTCTTTGCAGGGGCCTTCTTAGGCTTGGGCTCTGGCTTTGGAAGAGCTGGTTTAGCAGACAACCTTGCAGATCTTTGTGGTTCATCCTTCACCTCGTCTTTATCATCTGTATCATCCTGTCCAGGCTTTTTCTTGGGCATGATGGTGACAGCAGCAGAATACAGGAGCTGGACACAAGAGGCAACAGCATGCAGCTTTGGATGATCTGGGGGTTGTCCTTTCTTCTCCACACTGCTCAGGCTCCAGGTACAAAGTATTAATATGGCTGGGAGCCTTGGACTATTTAGCTGGTCTTTATTAGCCTCAAAATGGACCTGAGTTTTTCACAAAATTCTGATTAATTAGGGAAAACAATGCTGCAACAGGGGCTAGATATATACTAAACTATAGCAATAATTCTCAAAATGCAATCCACAGACCAGTGACATTAGCATCATCCAGGAATTTTATAAAAATGTACATTTTTACCCCTCTGGGATTCAGAATATACTATCCTAAAATATGATATCCTAGCATTTGATAAAATAACAAAACCAAGTAACCCCACTCTATTCTTTTCCACCCTTCTGTCAGTAGAAGTCATAAGAGCTTCATTGTAAAAGTTCCATCTCTGTACCTAGGGGAAATGAGTAATTTTATCTCTGAGGACACAGGGACACAAAGAAGAATCTGAGTAGGGCTTACTAAATTCCTCTTTAATTTACTATCGTTCAATTATATTTTGTCCCATCATACTTCCTTGCAACTGCACATTCTTATTATAGAAAGACACAGTTTTTCTGTTTCTTTGGTTCTTTATTTGTGAGTTTCCCATGTCACGTGAAACATATTAAATAAATTTGTTTGCTTTTCTTATGTTATTCTAGTTTGTTACAATGACCTCAAGCATGAACCTAGTAATGGGAAAGGTATTTTTTATTCATCACATGCCCCTGGTGCAGACCTAGAGAATCAGTTGTGGAGACAGAGCCTAGGCATTTATATTTTTAATAATCGTTCCACTTTATTCTGATATATGCTGAAGTTTGAGAATCTCACTGTGGCCATGATATTAACACTTGCTTTTGTGTACAACACAGTTATTACGAATGACCATGTACATGTTTGTGAGGAAAATAAAGTAAAGTTGTCTCAGTGGTGAGACCAAGACAAATATTAAAAGTCCCTTACCTTAAGCAGTTTATAATTTCTCTGTGAGTTAAGGGTTTTGCCATTTTCAGTGACTCAGCTGTCCCTAACATCATGCTTTTCCCATGGAACCTCTACCCTTCTTAAATATCCTTAAATATTATCACTTCTTGGAAACCTTTCTTCTAAAAATTATTGCTCTCTCCAATTAACCTATTTCCTGGTTTATTGTGGGTGTCCATTAATTATTTGTTAAATGTTATTTGGCACTTGATAAATACCTTCGTCTATTCAGATTGCTATAACAAAAATACCATAAATTAGGTGGTTTGTAAACAGCAGAAATTTATTTCTCATAGTTAGGAAGACTAGAAGGTGGTGTTCAAGACCCAATCCAACATTTAGTGTCTGGTGAGGGGCTGCCTCCCAGATGGCAATTGTTTCCTTTCAGCATTACAAGACACTCATCGCTACCATTTATATACTGGTCCATGTCACTAATAGCCAAAGGCACTTGACTCCTTGCCTCTTATCCTCGTGGTTAACTTATTAGACTTTAAGATTTCCAAAAAGCTTACTTATATATCACTTTAATTCTTTTTTTTTTTCCTCTCGAAATCAGGGATTGAACTCAGGCCCTTGCACTTGCCAGGGAAGTGCTTATTCCACTCAGCCATCTCCCCGGCCCCTTATCACTTTAATTCCTAAGAAAAAGAGATTCACGTCACTGTTAATGGTAGCTGAATATGTAAATGAGCATTCTGTATTGATAAAGTGTTGTAGTCAAGGATTACAAGGGAAATAATACAATATAGGACACTTAATTTTAAGATTATTTTATAGTAGTTACCCAAAGAGTCATATTCTAGAAGAGTTCGTGAAGTCTGTCCACACACTAAAGACCAAAAAATCCAGCTGAAGGCCTGGATCCCACAGTAACGTCCTGCATGAGTCCAGATGAAGACCTAGGGCTTGTAACAGTGCCCCTGACAAGTCCAACTGGATGGAGGCCAAGAGCCCACAACAATGCCTTATACAAGCCTGTTTCATGGACCTGTGCTGGGAAGGCCCAATGGTCAGTGGTTGAAACTAGAAAGGCTATGCCAGCAGGATGAAAAGCTGAGGGATCTGCACTGGAACCATGAAACAACACTCAAAGTAAGAACCAGAGCTCTCTCTAGAGGTACTATAGTCATTCTCAGCAACAATGAGATCCTGAGCTCCTCCAGTGATGAAAACAGCCAGGCAACTATCAGAAAAGCCAGCACAACAAGCTTTTAAGGATAATGGAGGCTGTTACTGTGGGATCCAGCTCTTAAGCGGCCAGCAATAATCCTTAGGTGGACCTCCCATGAAAGGCACCACACTGATTCAGTTCAGCTGGATGTTACAAGTTGACCAACAGTTGGCAATTGACAACATAAAGTAATAAATGAAATGTAAGGAGTAAAGTGAGAAATCATGTAAGACATTAATTCAATGACTCAATCACTTTCTTTAGTTATTTACAGTTAAGTGCTGGGATAAAAGTGTTCAAAGTAATTGTCAGTATTTTGAGGAGGACTAATGTGAATAGTACAACAAAATTTTTAATTTAAAGATTCATTATATATTTTGAATACCCCTTGCATATAGTTATTTAAAAATAATAAAAACATTTGTAATATGTTTGTAAAAAATTACCATGATGCCTATAGGCTTCAAAACAATATTAGCAAGGCTGTGGATTGTTGATGGTTATATATAATAGGTAAAATACTTTTAAAAGGCAATCCACTTAAACATCAGACAATATAGAAAGGGGTTTTTTTTTAGTAAATATAATATATAGGGATTATCCCCCAAATAATGCAAAACTTTATGGACACAGGAAGTATTAGTAAATATAATATATAGGGATTATCCCCCAAATAATGCAAAACTTTATGGACACAGGAAGTAACAAAGTATCCATGCCAGATGGAAATGGTCAAATTTTAATAAACATCATTGAATGCCTAAAACACATTAAATTACAGGTATGT